CATCCATCCCTCCATCCCTCCACCCATCCACCCACCCATCTGTCCATCCATCCATCCATCCATGTATCTGTCCATCTATCTCTCTATTTATCCATCCAACCATCCAACCACCCATCCACCTATCCATCCATCCATCCACCCACCCATCTGTCCATCCAACCATCCAACCACCCATCCACCCATCCACCCACCTATCCATCCAAACATCTATCTCTGCAAAAAGCATTCACCCAGGGTATCATCGTTAGTCACATGACCCTCATTTAATCCCATGACAACTGTTATCTCCTCTGGACACATGAGGAAACTGATGCACAGCAACTTGTCCAACGTCACAGAGCTCTCACAGGCAGTGCTGGGATTTGACCTGCCCACGATAGTGCCTGGGACTGTCTGCCACCCCCATGCCCCCGTAGGGACCTGGCAGTTCTGAATGGGCAAGAATGGAGGTGGGCGATGGCTTCCTTGTTTGTGTAATTACCACTTGCCCCCCAAGTTTTTAGAGAATCCCCCAAGCCAGGAAGTTTCCCTCCTGGGGAGCTGGGGTTTGGCCTTGCTTGCATCTAGAATCCAGGGAGGGTCAGGTCTGAGACTGCATGTAGGGCCTTTTCCTGGAAAAAGCCCCGTTAACCAGTCTCGTGCAGCCGTGTCTGGGAACAAAACCGCATTTCCTGTGTTTACCAAAGATGTTGTGTAGGATGAGTGGAGACCCAGGTCACCCCTACTCAGGCACATTCCGAGGGGACCAGCCACCCCAGGAAGTAAGTCAGGGTGAGGCAGAGGGCACAGGGGCAGGTGCTGGGCCGTGGCTGTGTGGGGGGTGCCCTAGGACCTGGAGGGACTGGCCATCTGAGATAATGGAGGCGAGTCCTTTAGGAGTTGAGGAGCCTGCTCTGTGATGGGACTGAGCCTGGCTGGGGACCCCTCGGGGTGGGCACTCGGTTACTAGGGTGAGGCCCATCACCCATCATCGGAGCCATGGAGACAACAGCGACTGCTGCTGTTTGAGTAACTTCGGTGGCCAAGCACTTGGTCGTCTCTCTCTGAGGCAGGGGTCATCGTCATCCTCACTGCAGTGACAGGGAAACTGAGGCTTGCAGAACTGAATGACTTTTCCCCAAGTCATGTGGCGGCCACGGGGTAAGGGGCAGAGCCTGAGCCGGAACCAGGGGCTGTCTGGATGTAAATATCTCAGCTGCTAAGTCCCAGGCGGGGCTCACTCCATTGGTGAAGGCTCGTAAATCGCACGAACAGATGGGGAAACTGAGGCTGGGGAGAGCGAGCAGACTGCCCAGCTCTCGCCTGAGTAGGTGGTAAGGGGTGGGGCGTGTTCAGCCACTTGGATGGTTTTGCACCTTCTCTCTTCCCCCCAAGAGAACAAGTAAAACAAAACATTGAGCCAAGCAACCTCCCTGCACCCTCTTCAGCTGAGTCTGTGGGTAGCACCCCTCCTAGCCCCCCTCCTCTGGCCGGGCCCAGCCTGGAGCAGGGCGTCCATGGGCAGCCCCAGGTGCCTGCCTGCCTGCTGGGGACAGTAGGTGTGATAATGATGTAGATCAAGCAACTACCTCTGCTGTCCCTGCCTTCCCTGTGTACTGCACCCCCAGGTGCCCCCAGGCCCCATCTCCATGGTGACCGGGATGGGTGCCCCCAGGTGTATCATGCTTCCTTGCTCTGTGCTTCCCTTGGAAGCCAGTGGGAGGCCAGGGCATCTTCACTCCAAAAAGCAAAGAAACAAAAGCAAAGTGATACGCAAGGGAAGCGTTCAGTAAAGCCTCTCTCTGGATGAATTGTTTCATGTGCCCGATAAGGGCCGGTCCCCCCATTTCACAGGTGGGGACACCGTGGTTGGGGGACGTTTGCTAATTTGCCCCAAGCTGCCAGCGGTGGGGAGACCGTGGGCAGCCCTCCCAAGATCCCGCCTCTGCCCTTTCCCGTGACCCCCAAGCCACCCTCGTGATCCGGATGCCCACACCCACAAGCTGTCTGGGCCCTCCCACCCGCCGTGGCTCCCACCTGCATTAGCCTCGGGTCCTCTGGGTGCCCTCGGGATGCACACGTGGGGTTCTGAGCCCCACCGCGCTGTCCCTCTGGTGCAGCCAGAACTTGCGAGGAGCCTCAGAACATCACCTGACCCCTGTGCATGTCTGGGCAGGATGGGAACTAAACCCAGAGACCCCCAGGACCAAGGTGGGGGGTGGGCTTGCTCATCTGCCCCCTCTGGTTGTTGGAGGAGGCGTCCGGGTCTGCCCAACCCTCCTGGGCCTCAGGCTGTTGGCCTGGTCTGTGGGGTAGAAGCTGGCAGGCCTGGCCCGAGGCGGTGCCTCTCAGACTTGATCTGTGGCCTCAGGAGCACCAGAAGGGGTGTTGAGACACACGTGGCTGGGCCTGCACCGCCCCTCCTGCCCCCCATCCCTGGAGTTTCACAAGG